CTGCTACCCAAAACTTCTGTGTGCTCACTAATTCTTCAGTCCTATCTTTGGACCCAAAGCATCCAGAATACCTGGGTTCTAATCCTGGTTCCAACACTAGCTAGTGACCTTGGCAAGCTATGTGACCTCTTGGGGCTTCTGGCTCCTGGTTTATAAAGTGGGGGTAATAAAGGAACCTATAGCATCGGCTTGTTGTGAGGAGTAAGAGCGTCCTGAGAACAGTGTCTGGCCTGTGATGTATACATGTTGGACAAAAGCAACTATTATTGTTGTTGTTTGGTGCCAGCCCTGGGCACCAGAATGTCAAGGACATGGAGCCTGCCTTTGAGAAACTCAGATCATGTAATTCATGCTTGAATCCAGTCAGTACCTTCCCACTGACCTTGGAATAAAATCCAAATGTTCCACCGTAGCCTGTAAGACCCTGTGTGATCTGGTCCCTGCCCACCTTTTCCACCTCATCTCATCCCACTCCCCCTTATCCCTTGCTTTCCAACCGTACCCTTGTCTTTTCTGTTTCTCAAATATGCCATGCTCTTTCCCACCTCTAGGGCTCTGCATGTCCTGTCCCCTCTGCCTAGACCACTCTTCCCCCAGACCCTTATCATCATGTCAAATACTGCGTCCTCAGAAAGGTCTTCCCTGGCCCACCACATTAAACCCTCCCCCTAATCCTGGAACTTCCTGCCTCCCCTATCTCATAACGCTGTTTTGTTTTCTTCATAGCACTTATTATTATCAGAAATTATCTTGTTTCCTTGTTTATCATCTGTCTCCTCCAAAAATGTAAGCTTCATGAGGCTTACCTTATCCAGTTTGTCCTCCTCTGCATTCCTAGCATTCACAATAGGACCTGGCATATAGTAGGTGCTCAACAAACATATGAGCGAATGAATGAACAGGGGCAGCCATGACTATAGGACAAAGCTGAGTAAGCCAAAGGCTCTCCGTGGGGAGACACCAGCCCTGGGCTGAGTATAGGGGGTTGCTGGGCTGTTTGTCCTGCTAACTCTGATTCTTCCTGTGTCTCCCAGGCCAGAAGGGGCTCTCCCTGAGGGCATGCTCCTGAGCCTAAGCATTTTTGTAGCTAAACCATTATCACCTACCAATCAGAATATGGGAGCAATGTTCTGGAGGCCTCCATCTGTACCAGGTGTTCATCCTTTAGGTGCTGGATCATAGGGATGTGTGGTAGGAGGGTGTCCCAAAGCTTAGAACAGCCATCTACTTAAGAGCAGATGCAGAAGTATTTCAACATTTTTTTTTTTTGAGACAGAGTCTCACTGTGTTGCCCGGGCTAGAGTGCCGTGGCGTCAGCCTAGCTCACAGCAACCTCAAACTCCTGGGCTCAAGTAATCCTTCTGCCTCAGCCTCCCGAGTAGCTGGGACTACAGGCATGTGCCACCACGCCTGGCCAATTTTTTATATGTATATTTTTAGTTGTCCAGCTAATTTCTTTCTATTTTTTTAGTAGAGACGGGGTCTTGCTCTTGCTCAGGCTGGTCTCGAACTCCTGAGCTCAAACGATCTGCCCGCCTCAGCCTCCCAGAGTGCTAGGATTACAGGTGTGAGCCACCGCGCCCGGCCTCAACATTTTAACATCAGTGCCCCAGCCTCACATAAGGTGAGTGCAGGTGAGCTTCAGTAGACCCTGCTGAGGCCTGTGGATCCAGCACTATTTCAGGAGCTAAGGTCCAGAGCAGCTATTTGGCACCTTTGTGGCCATCCAGGCCAATGTTCCCCCGACGCACCCTGCCCCCTGGCCCAAACACACGTTTCTAAAAATGAGGAGGGAGGACCCAAGGTCAAGCAAGAGCTGGTCACTGGCAAGGCCAAGACTTTAATCTAGCAAGTGAGGACTTGAATATCCTTCCGAGAAAGGGCAGGACAGCCATATTCTAATTTCCTTCCAGCCCTAACAGCCTTTCCAAACCAAAGTGGCAGGTGTATTCCATCACATCTTCCCTGCCCTTTCCTGGTAGGTGCTGACCTCTTTTCTCAGGGGCTCAGAGGTAGGAATCCCAGCACGCCCTCTTTGGCTGCCAGATCAGGCCCAGGCAGATGGGGACATGTTGGGAGGGGACCCTTGATGTGAGGGGTGTGTGAACTTTCCTTTGCTCCTGCCTCCTGCATTTTCCCCATTGCCACCCCCATATCCCCACACCTCCTGGGGTTCCCTGGAAGCTGAGATGACTCAGGGATTCCAAAACTAGTCACCCCAAGAGGAAAACCCTCTGGAAAATGTTTATCATGACAGGGAGTCACCCTAAGGAGTCCCACAGAGCTGCTACCGAGATAAGGGCAGTGGCTGAGCAAATGGGTGTGGAGTGGGGGCACGTGGCTCAGAGCACAGGTTCTCGGGTCAGGCCCAGGCATCACAGTGTGGGTAGAGCCAACCCTGCGGGAGACTGTGTTTGGGGGACATTCCTTCTGCCTCAGGGTGATACCCCAAAGGCCTCTCCTGAAGGGCCATGTCCCTGGTAGCCTAGCTGTGTCCTCTGTGCAGTGTCAGCAAGTAAAACAAGTAGCTGGAATCATTTCTAGCTCCTCTGAGCACCCCCACCTGGACAGTGGCCAGGATAGGACCTCTGGGCTAAGGTTTACTCCCTTCTTAGCCCTGCAGTTCTCCTTGGTGTGGGGAGACCCATAGGCATCCAGTTTTTCTAAAGCAGCACTGTCCCCTAAGAGCCTGTCTTGGGGTTAGGGGTTGCTCAGGAACACCAGAAGCCACCCAGAGGCCATGTGCCAGACCAAAGGCCAGGGAACAGGAAGCTGGAGAGTGAATCCCAGGTAGCAGGGCTGAATGCCTAAGTGGGCACGAATACCCTGTGGCCTTGGGCAGGTGCAGGTGAGACCTGTTCCAGCCCAAGCCCAGGTGAGTAGGAAAGCACCCCCTGTGGGGGCTCCCCTTCCATTCATAGCCAACTGGGGATGGGCATAGTGTGGCATCTCTGTACCAGGAGCTTAGATTTGGAGTTGGTCAGGGCTGGAACGGAAAGCCAGCTTAGCCTCTTTTTAACCGTGTGACCTTGGGCAGGTTACTAAGTTTCTTCATTGGTAATATGGGGATAATAGCTTCCATGTCATGGTTTTATTGTAAGGATAAAATGAGATGAAGAATGTCCAGGGCCTACCACCATGTCTGGCACAGGTGAATGCACAGGAGCTGAGGCCGGCGGTAACTGGAAGGGGGAGGATGTCTGGGAGCAAGGGGGTAGAGGGGGGGCAGTGGCAGTGGGGTGATGATACTGGCCTTATTGCTCTTCCCAAGTGCTCTGCTCTCCCAGACACCATTCTCCTAACCACCACCGCCCCAAGCCCCCGTGGTTTCAGGCCTCCTAAGACTCATCAGAGCAGCTTCTCCCAATTCTCCAGAATGGCCTCTGACGTCCTCACTCTTCTCCTTTGGGGCTGCTTTGCCTTAAAGCATTTCAAATTTGAAGGAGTACCTGTTGCTCTACAGTTTAAGTTATTCTTGGCTCCCTTTGTTTATTTCCTGAGTCCTTGGTTACTACAGGAGTATTTTCTAAGGGAAAGCACATGCAAATCAGGAAGCATCATTCTAGAGACAAGCGGGGGCATGAGGGGAGTGCTAGGCCGGGAGGAAGAGAAAGGCCGGAGGGGTGTGAGCTCTGGCCTGCTCTCAGCACTGTGCCCACAAGCAGGCTGGCCGACCTGTGTCTTCCAGGTCAGGCCCAGCTCCAGGCCTCTCTGGGGCACGCATATTCCCTCCTGGCTGACAGTGGCCCATGTTGCTGGGAGTGCTGGGACTGAATGGATTCACCCATGGCATGAGAGCAGCAGCTATGTCTGCCATGGGCCATGTCCCCAAGGCCCTGTGAGTGGGGGTGGGGGTAGGTTTGTCCCTGGAACTGAGACCTCCCCTGGGTCTTAGGCGAGGCTGTTAAGGTGTCCTTCCTCTTCCTTGCTTCACCTTCTCATTTGTGCAATGGGAACAGTCACCCACAGCTTCTTCCATCAGACCTTGCCCATCCAGCCAACAAGCTCATGGAACCAGGGCCTTCCTGGCAGTCCTGTGGGGTTAGGCCTGCCTCCCTATCCCAAGGAGGAGGTCAGGGAGAGCATGGGGATGGGGCTGGGGGCAGCGACTGGAGAGGGTGAGGGGAAGTGGGAGAGTGGGGAAGGGACAATGGGGAAGAAGTCACAGATGATGGGCGTCATGGGAGTTGGGGTCATTGAAGTTGGGGAAGAGGTCAGAGAACAAAAGGGGATGGAGGTCAAAGGAGACCAAGGGGGAGGGAAGTGCTCACCAAGGTGGGTGATCAGGAGGACATCTGAGAAGAAGGGGAATCGTGGAGACCAGACCCTGGGTGGGAGCAGCAGAGATCATGGAAGGCGAGGCCTCCAGGCCAGAAGACATTGCCTAATTTTGAGTACCAAACCAGCCAGGGAAATTCCCATAATGGCAGTTCACAAGAACACAGAATAGCGGAATGCTATTGCTTTGACCCCACACTGGAAAAGTTCAAAGAGCAAAATTTATCCAATCAGCTACCAGGCTTATAATGATGCTCAGTGCATTTTAAGCAGCTTTTGGAAATACTTTCAGGGTTTTTCGTTTTTTTATTTCAGAATATTATGGGGTACAAATGTTTAGATTACATATATTGCCTTTGCCCCGCCCAAGTCAAAGCTACAAGTGTTTCCATCCGCCAAACAGTGCACACTGCACCCATTAAGTGTGAATATACCCATCCTCTCTTCCCACCCCCCACCTGCCCGACACCCAATGAATGTTACTTCCATATGTGCACATAAGTGTTTATCAATTAGTACCAATTTGGTGGTCAGTACTTTCAGTTTTGTTTTTTGTTTTTCTTAAATCTCAAGTCACTCCCTCCAAAAGATAGTGGAAATAAATTTGAATAAACAAAACAGGTTAGCTGAAAATAAAACCAGGACTCCTAACCTGCTCCAGTCAGCCTGCTTCCAGAAGGCCTGCTGGTTGGTTCCATACCTGTGGCTGAGTGAGCATCGGCATGTACCAGGTGACTGCACAAAGCGTGGGCAGAGCAGAGCGCCTGCTGAGAGGGAAAGGAGCAGAGATGTTGCTGAGGGCGGAGGGAGGCCAGGCTCTCGGGTTTGGGGCTGGGAGCCAGGTAGAGCTAGAAACCAGCATCTCAGAAAGCAGCTGGGGCAGGGTTCGTGTGGGAACGGGACCTGGATTAGGTGGGAGCAGGTCTCTCAATGGCCTTTTCCTACAGGTGGCTGCATTCTTGGCAATGGTCATGGGAACCCACACTCTCGGTTCCCATGAAGGACTCCAGAAGGACTGCAGCCATCGGCCCAGCTGCTGCCCCAGGAAGGGGCAGGACTCCACTGAGGAATGGCTGAAGTGGAACACTGTGCTCATGCCTCCCCCAGAACCAGCTAGCCTCACCCCCCACCCAGAATCCTGCAGGTCCAGCAAAGATGGACCCCTCAACAGCAGGGCCATCTCCCCCTGGAGATACGAGTGAGTCTGCTGTCCCCTCCCGAATGCCTGCAGGAGCTCCCCTATGTGTGCTGGTCAGGGTGTGTGTGAGGGACCAGGGAGTTCCATCCAATTCCAGCCTCCCTTCTGTTTTTGATCTCAGAGAGGCCATAAATATTTGGGAGTTAGACAAGGCCTGGATTTGAGTCCTAGTTCTGACTCTCATTGGATGACCTTGAGCCAATTACTCAAGTTTTTGAAGATTCAGCTTTCTTTTTTTGTCATCTGTAAAACTACATAATACCCCATAGGCTAATGTGCAGATCAAGCGATGTATTGTATGTAAAAGTCCATACTTATGTGGGTTCTCTTCTTTTCTTTTTTTAAAATCCCTATAATGGCCCATCCTTTTCTAACAAAAACATCAGAGAATAACGAATAATGATACAAGCATGAAGCATCCCAATATCAAGTGGTCTTGCCCTGGGCCATGAATGGGTTACAAGTATTCTAAGGAGTAAAACCCTCAATTCTAGGGCCTTAGGGATCTCAAGCATTTTTCTTCTGTCCTGTTGTTCTCACCAGGTGTCTGCATTCCCACTCCCCATAAGTCTTAGCCTTGGCTTTGGGGATGGAGAAGTTCAGTGGAGCAGGGAGGGTGTCTGCTTTAAATGAGTTTAGATCTAGGGTGGACACTACGGGTCACAATGCTCTGGAGTGGTCCAAGAAGGCTGACTGGTTCCTGGGCCAAATCCAATGGTGCGGGAACCTTTTAGGGAGATGGTTGACTCAGCTTTGATCCAGACCCCTCATTGGGAGGCTATGAACCCCTGACAGCCACTCAGCTGGGCTTCCCCAAAGTGTGTTCTGTGCAACCTGCATCCCACAAGCTGCTCCTCAGGCAAAGTGACGATGTAAAGTAAGTTTGAGAAAGGCGGCTGCAGCCCTACTCCTTGGAGATTCAGAATGCCTTCCATACATAACAGTCTGCAAGAAGTCTGTAGAAAAGAAACTGTTAAACTGAGTGTTTCCCAAACTCATTTGACCACCCAACCCCTTTCTTGCAGGGAATTTATTAGGGAACCCACTTTGGGAAATACTGTGCTAGCTGAACTCCAGCTTGCCAGGGCTTGTCTATATGCAGAATGGTTCTATAACCTGGGGGCTATTTCCTGCTAGACTACTGCAGTTCCAGATCTTTGGAAAGTTTACTTTTCAGAGGTTTTCGGGTCTTTTTCTTTTTTCTTTTGGCCATGTCATCCTTTCAGAATAAGTAATCTTCTGTGCACTCTTATAATTTATTTGTTAAAAAAAATTTTTTTTTAGAACATAGAGACGGGGTTCTCACTATGTTGTGATCTTTCTGCCAGGGCGTTCCAAGGTGCTGGGATTACAGGTGTGAGCCAGCGCGCCTGGCCTCCCATGCACTCTTAAGTGTGCTTATGACATGTACTTGGACAACATCTGGAAGGATGTGCAGGAAATGGTTGCTGATGGCTCCCTCTGGGGAGTGGAACTGGTGGGGAGAGACTGTTCGTTTTCACTTTATACTCTTTTATACTTAGGTGTCAGAGTAGTTTTTACTTTTGCAAAATAATAATAATGATAGTAAAACCATCTACACTTGATAATTACAACAAGAAACCTCATGCTAGAGCCCGGTGTCTGTATCAGACAGAAGCACTGCTGGTCTGCTGGAGGCTAAGACAGGAGCGTATTCCTCTTCCCTGCCTTCCTAAGGGTCTCAGGTTCAGTTGGAAAGTCACTCTTCTGCCCCCTACCCTCATTTACAGTTGGGGAAAATAAATCCAGAGGTGGGGAGGCAATTTGTTCAAAGTTACACAGCAAGGGGCTGCCAGAGGTGAGACAAGAAGCCAGGCCCTGCAGCCTTCCTCTGGCATCCCCACCCCACCCACCCGGCCCTCTCTGCTTCTGGCCCATCCCTGCAGGGCCTGATAAGTGCCACCTCCACAGGTTGGACAGGGACTTGAACCGGTTCCCCCAGGACCTGTACCACGCCCGTTGCCTGTGCCCACACTGCGTCAGCCTCCAGACGGGCTCCCACATGGATCCCCTGGGCAACTCGGAGCTGCTGTACCACAACCAGACCGTCTTCTACCGGCGGCCGTGCCGTGGCGAGCAGGAGGCCCACAGCGGCTACTGCCTGGAGCGCAGGCTCTACCGTGTCTCCTTGGCTTGCGTGTGTGTGCGGCCCCGTGTGATGGCCTAGTGGCGCCAGCCTGAGGCTGGTCCCCTGTCGGGAAGACGGGAGCCAGGTGTACCACCACCTGCCCCGGTGAGCCAGGACACTCAAATACTCGGCCCCTGCAAAGCGCCACCTGGAGCAGCTGGATCCTGAACAGGATGGGGGGCTTTGGAGGCAACCGCACTTTCACATTTTTTGGAAGCACTTTTTAAAGGGAGCAGCTGCTGCTTAGGACTGCTGGAAGCTGGTGTCTTGGCATTTCCTCTCAGGGAAGGTCTTCAAAGCCCTGCCCGTTTCTTGAGGCCACCACTCCTATATCTTTGCCTCCCTCTGCCCTGGCCCAGCACAAGCACTTTCTTGATATTTTCCCTTTGCCAGTGGAGAGCCCTTCATTTTATTCGTCCATTCATTTGTTTGGTCATTCATCAGACACTCAGCAAGCATCTACTTTGGGCACATTCTGGTGTAGTTACTAGTCTTTTGACATGGATAATTCCAAGGAAGAAGCTGTCATTGAACATGGAGTGATTTATCCAAATAAATATCTGTATTTAAAAACGCCTAACCTGTCCCTGGCATCCATGGTGCCGGAACATCTTGTGGTCTCCCAGACTGTCCTTTCTGCTCCCCACCATCAGTCCTCACCTTCTGCCCACCCTGCCAGCTCTCTCTGCCCTCCGGAGTTTCCACTGCGCCTCCCATTCCCTCCCTTCTCTGGCTCCCTGGCCCACCCAGAACACTAGGATGGGGGCCAGGCCAGCTCCTGGCATGCTGGAGAGACAGAGGCCCATTGAGGCACTGCTGCAGGCACACAGCGCCCCCTTGTCCCCCCAACAATCCGCCTTTGTCCTCTGGTCCTGGCTGCTGCAGCTTGGTCCTGGGGGTGCTGCCTGGGCCAGGCTCCAGCTCCCATCCTCCCCAAAAGGAAAGGGGAGAAAGGACTGGCCAAGGAAGAGGGTTAAGGTTAGCAGGGACATAAACTCCTTCAGGCTTAGGTCCCTGGGGACTCCCAGTCCTGCCCCAGTTCCTTAGCTCACCTCCCAGCTCCTCCTGGTTTCTGTTCGGACCTCCTCCTCCTCCTCCTCAGCCTTTCCCCCTTCCTTCTCCCCTTCTACAGACCGGGTTGGGCTCCGAGTGAGGGGAGGGGTTAGCCCCTCCTCCCCCCTTCCCCACCCCACGTGCCTCCTAGGGGGCTGAGCAGAGGCAGCAGAGGGCTCTGGGCAGCTGGGTGAAGGCCGTCCCCAGCAGCTGCCTTCTCTGGGCCACAGGCAGGCCTCCCTGCTTCACTTTCAGGTTTCCTGAAGTGCCCTCTTGCTCCTGTCTGCTTCCCCATCCTGCCAGGTTTCTGTTTCCCTTCCTGGGCTGGTGGCGGTGGGGGGGCTGTGTGGTGAGCCCCACGGAGATGCTCAGTGCTTGGGATCGACGGAACCGGCCCCCTGAGGAGGGGGCAGCTGCAGAGCTCCGGGGCTTCGCTGTGGACAAGACCTTCCTCTCCTCCCTCAAAGGCATCCTGCTGGAAACCGAGCTGGTAACAGCTGCCTCCCCGACCTGGTGCTTCCGTCTCCTGTCCCTGGCTCACCTCTCAGCTGTCCCCCTCCCCAGGCTTTCCGGACACCTCTCCTGCCCCCAGCTGCCCCTTCCGTGTCTCCTGTTCTGCCTTCTTGTTGCTGCCTCTCCATCCGGAGGCAATTAAGGCAGATTTCAGCTGCAGCAGGAAGGACTGAGGTTAGACAGAAGGACAGCTTTCTGGGACACTGAGGGAGTGTGTGACATAGGGATGGGACAGGGGTAACACCAGCCTGTCTTTCCCTGGCCTCTAAGATGGCCACTTTTTGCCATGTCCAAGAAGTCCAACTATCGAAAAGGGCAGAATTCCTGCCCTTAATCTGTTGCCTGCTGCCCATGGACATCTATTCTCAGGAAAGGATCTTCCCCTGGTTACTTAGCAAGAGCACAGTGCAAAGTCAGGGCCTCTGCATATATGCCATCCTATATCCCAGAGCTGAAGCGACCCCGAGTCCCCTGGGCAGCACCTGCCTTCTGAGCCTTTTCTCTGGGTGTGGAGTCAAAGCTCTGATCCTTGTCAGAGGAGTTTTAGGCATCTGGGTGTGGGAAGCATTATGGACAGGGGGTGCCTCCTGGGGACAGGGCCCTGTGGCCAGGGGCTGGCGTTCACATTGTACTCTGTGCTCCTGGGGGGCGCCATTGAATAGTGCCTCCCGCAGCCGTGAAGCTTGCCCAGACTGCTGGGGTTGCTGGGATGCCTGGGGGCCACAGTGGCAGGCTGGGGACTGCCCTTGATGGTCAAATACCCTGCAATGGTGGCTCCTGACACCAGGGATGGGGAGACGGGCCAGAGCTCTTCCTTCCCGTCTCTAAGGGCAGGTGGTGGGTGCCAGTCTGGGGGAGATCTCAAGGAGGGGAAGGCAAAGGGCTGGCACGTGCCTGTGTCCCTTCCCTGGCAAGCTCCACATGCTTGGTCCTGCAGGCCCTGACCTTCATCATCTTCATCTGCTTCACGGCCTCTATCTCTGCCTACATGGCCGCAGCACTGCTGGAGTTCTTGATCACGCTCGCCTTCCTCTTCCTCTACGCCACCCAGTACTACCAGCGCTTCGACCGGCTTAACTGGCCCTGTCTGGTGAGGAACCCTGACTCCCAGCCTGCTTTGGTTCCTTCCTTCTTCTCTGGTCTGAGTTTTCCTTTCCTCTCCCAGCTTCCCTCAGTTTCCACACCCAGCTGGGCTTTGCCCCAGATTGATTTCACAGCTATGGGGTTACTGACAACGGGGAGGACACATCCCTTAGATTGGCTCCCCCAACTCACCAAAGGTGCAGCCCCAGCCCCAGCCCCGGCCTGGGCATCCTCACTGGTATGCTCCAGCCTCTGCCCCTGGGCTCCAGCCACTGTGCCTGCTCAGCCCATCCCAGCCCCTGGCTTCTTGTCCTGGTTGTCCTTGATTTATCTCCTTCCGTTCCCTGGGTGGCAGTATGAACTCGCTCTCTCTCAAAAGTGCTTTCTGTTGTGTCCAGGGGTATCTTCCCATAGGGGTTCAGAATGCGTGAGGGTCAGGCCGCTGACTAGCCTGCAAGACCTCAGGGTGATGCATCCCTGCCTTCTGAGGTCCCTTTAACCCTGCATCCCTGACCCCCAGGACTTCCTCCGCTGTGTCAGCGCCATCATCATCTTCCTGGTGGTCTCCTTTGCAGCCGTGACCTCCCGGGATGGAGCTGCCATTGCTGCTTTTGTGAGTTCAGCCCTGCAGGGCTCTTCAGCCCCTCAGGACCTCTGGTTGTGCACACTTGCACATTGTGTCAACAGCCAAAGCCAGGGCCCGGGCTTTGGTCGCGTCTCACCCATACCACTCACCTCCCTCTCCCTTAATCCAATGGCCCAGTAGCCTCTGTTGTGCCATCCCCACTCCTACTCCCACAGGTTTTTGGCATCATCCTAGTTTCAGTGTTTGCCTATGATGCCTTCAAGATCTACCGGACTGAGATGGTGCCCAGGGCCACCCAGGGTGAGTGCCTGTGCTCTGAGGAGAGGAGATGCCCCTGCCCCGCCCCCCACTAGCTAACCCATCCTGACATGGCTTCCCTGCCTCGCTCCATCTTCACAGGGGACCAGCAGTGACTCTGGGCTACCTGTCTCCCAGGCCCAGACAGAAAAAGGGGACTGTGGAGCCCAGACACATCTTGGGATTCACTAGTCCCCCCAACCACCGTCCCCCACCCAGGCCTACAGAGATGTCTGACCTGAGAAGTCACTGGGGACTTGTCTGTGGAGCCTGGTGCTCTGGGATCTGCCTCCTGCTGAAGCTCTGGCCAGACGAGGGGGACTTATGGGATAGGGGGAGAAAGCTGGGCCCCTAAGTCATGCCCAGATTAAAAGATTCAAATCCTACTGGTGAGCCTTTTTCTTCTCCAGAAATTAGGCAGATCAGGATGCCAAGGAGTATTCAGGAAAATGTTGCTGGAGCAGGTCATGGGCTCTCTCTGGGACCGGGTCTGTGCAATGAGGAGGTGGGAGCTAGCCTGAAGAAGTGGAAGGCACCCTCCAACACAAAACTTCCACGCTACAACACTGTGCGCGAGGCTGCTGTGTGGTGTGCCTGGGCACCTGGAGTTTTGTGTCTGAGAAGGCACGAGCCTTGTTGATGTGAGCTCCTACCCGCCATACTTGGTCACACAGGTTAGGGGGCTGGAGGAGAGGTGCTCGCCCGGGCCGTGTGTAGAGCTCCCCCTTGTGGGGAGGACGTGGCCTGCAGGTTGCAGGGAGAGCAGCCAGGCGCCCTGGCTCACGCCTGTAATCCCACTACCTTGGGAGGCCGAGGCTGGAGGTTTGCTTGAGACCAGAAGCTCAAGACCAAAATGCTAACTCTGGAAAAGCTCTTAGATATCAGCTGGCTCAATGCCATGAGGCCCAGCCAGGGGAAGTGACCCCATTATTTGCGACAGAGCTAGGGCTAGAATCCAGCTCTCCTGACACCTGATCAGGTGTTCTGGATACTGTAGTGAGTGCCCTCATAACTCAGAAAAAATTGGCCAGCCTCATCAGCAGCTCCCTCCACTGGAGGATGCACCTTCCCGGTTTGCCAGCTCCTCGGCACACATATCCTGAGGGCCTCCCGTGCACAGACCCTGTGCTGGGTGCCAGGGATTCAGAGGTGACAGCTGGGCCTGTCCTCGAGCACTCACAAACTGGAAGAGAGAGAAGCTGGTGAAGGGCTCTCCACGATGAATGCTATGGGAGGGCTCAGCCCCAAAGGAGTTTGGAGCAGGCACTGCTGCAGCCTGGGCATCAGCCCTATGGGGCCCACGACAGTCCAGTGCAGCCAGGACACCCTGCCCAGCCTGAGTAGCCCAGCCTTGCCTGACTCAGTGGCTCCATCCAAGCTGACCTGCTGTCTCCTCTCTCTAATGCGGACGTGCTCCTGCCCTGAAACACCATCCTTCTTCTTCGGGGGTGCTCCTCCCCGTGGCAGGCCCCAGCTCCCAAGTCCTGCCTGAAGCCTAGGTCTGGAACTCTGGTGGTGGTGCTCTGCTGCCCTTGGTGGTGGGTACTCCTCTCTTGGTCCGACTTTTCCTGCCTCCTGCTTCCTGTCCTCCTGTCCTTGTGTCCTGGCCCCCCATCAGGGCTGGAAGCCTTTCCTGGGCTGGAACCAGCCAGATTTTTTGTTTCTCTGATGTCCACTCACAGTTTTCAGGGCCTTAGGCACAATCCATTCTTAAGATTAGTTGCGACTGACATTGGGCAGTGGGGTGGTCAAGGCTTGGGGAGTCAGGGAGATGGGGTGTCAGGTGAAGGGATGAGCCTGGCTGCAAGGCCCAGTGGGGAGTGGGATCAGACCAGAATGGGGTCAGGACCAGGCCTGTCCCCTGAGCAGCTGTGTGTCCTGGGCCAGACCGTCCCTGGTAGGAGCTCAGAGAGAGCAGAGATGCAGTGTGTGGTGTGTACCTGTACACACACCTGTGCTTGTCTGCAAGTGTGAGAGCCAAAATGGAAGAGCAATGCCCAAGGTTGGTCCTCACCGCATGCTGGTTTGGGCTCAGTGTCAGCTGGCCCCAGAGTCTGCCCTCATAGTAAGGGGCTGACCCACAGAGGCTGGGGTCAGACCCCTGGGGATGACAGGGAGGTGAGATCTCTCCCACCTCCTTTCCCCATACGCCCGTCCCCAGCCAGCTCCAAGCCCCTCCTGGCATCAGTGGGAAATTCGTTTTAGAAAGAGTGGGTGTCCAAGGACACCTTTAACCTCTGCAGCCTGAGAGGTGGGAGGGTGGCATCAGTTTTAGCACCAAAATTCTACCTCCCATGATGTAGAACTGGCTCACCATTTTAGTGCCTTGTTTTCCCCACTTTTGAAATTTCTCCCCCTCCTCCCTTGTGTGGTCGACTGAGCAGAACTGGGATTCATGGCTGTGTCACCTCAGGCAGGACCTCTCACTTCCCTGGGCCTTGGTTTTCCTTCTCTACAGATGTCGGATGCCCCAGCTGCTGCAGCTCCGACACAGGCGCTGGGGCCTCCCTCCTCTCGGGCCACCAACACCCCTGGCCCAGGATGGACAGCTGACAGGAAGGACAGAGGGGCTCAGGCAGAGGCTGGCACTCATATTTATTATATATTAGCAAGGATGAGGTTCCGGAGGTGGCGTCACTCCTCGTCGTGCATTTTTTGCTGAGAAGGGAATAAGAGGTGTGAGGGGCAGCTGGCAAGAAGGAGCAAGAGTGTGGGGAGGAATCCCAAGGGTGACTAGGGAGATGCCCTTGGTGGGAGAGGTTAGGGTTCTGGGGATCTTGGGGTCCCATGTTAGGGGTGCTTGTGGCTTAGGAGGTGGGCCTGGGGCTTTCTGCAGAGGGGGATGTTTTGAGCAGGAGGGTGGATTTCCTGCTTACGGGTGCTGTGAGACCCTCAGGGCTGTCCACATATAGAACAAGGAGTGCCCACCCTGAGGGGCATTCATGCCAGGGGGCGTGCTGCCATGGGGGTGACCAGTGAAGCCCAGGGGGAGGGACCCACCTTGGTGCCGATATCGCGGCTCTTGGCCCGCAGCTTGTTGACCTGGGACTCGGCGATGTCCGCGCGCTCCTCCGCCTCATCCAGCTCGTGCTGCACCTTGCGGAACTTGGACAGGTTGGTGTTGGCCTGCTCCTCCTGCGGGGTGGGAGGATGGGAGAGTGAGGGGAGAGGGGCTGTCAGGGTGGGGTCCGGCTCTCTGTCTCTGAGCCACTTGCTCCTCACCGTGTTCCTGTGACAGCCTTCCCAAGGGCAGCCTGCACCTGGCACCCTCCTCAAACTTATCCAGCACTCGGAATCCTTCCTGGCCATCTACTGCCAAGATGAATCCCATGTTGCCTGGTCTGGGCCCCCTCAGAATCCAGTCTCACTGCACCTGCGCCACCATGACTCAGGGACTCCCGACCCCGGGTTCCTGTGCAGGTGTGCTCGTCAACACCTCATGTCCACCCAGATGTTTT